TATATATATATATATATATATATATATATATATATATATATATATATATATATATATATATATATATATATACATGTATATATATATTTGTGTTTATATACATAAATACATACACACATACATATATAATATATATTTGAGTGGGTGTGTATAAATCAAGCCTTGATTTTTAGAATTAAAATTAGTACTCTTTGGATGCCTTCTGGTATTCATTTCATTAAACCCTAGATTCATGTAAGAGAAATTTATCAAATGTTCTTTCTATTGCCATTCCATTCCATTCCATTGCATCTCTCTTGGTGCAGAGTGTGGGAACATCATGGCTTTTTTGTTTTTTCTATGTAAGCTTTTACAAATTCTGATTACCTTTCAAATGACTGATATCTGTTTTTAACAGGGTGATGGTAATGCCCATGTTAGCACTCAGTGGACATATACAGGTCACAAGAAATCGGTTTTTGGTGTTGCTTTTTCTGACTCAATGAGGTATGCTGCCTCATGTGATTCAACTGTTCATGTGTGGGATCCATTTATTTGTGCCTGCATAAAGCAGTTGGATTCCTTGCGTCACAGCCCAGTCACTGTAAGTTGGATATGACAGTTGCAAGTTTATTTTCTTTTTCATGCTGCTGATTATGGAGAAAATTGAAATTAAACTTTGTAAATAGAACCTTTTACATAGAACTTTAAAATTTTGATTATGAGTTTTCCTTTATTTCCTCCCTGACAGGTCCTGACTGCAATGGCAGCTCCATCAACACAGTTAGTGGCAGCTACTACAGATGCCACATTACGATTTATAGACCTTCGTACCTGCAGTTACACACATGAGTTTAAAGTAAGTTTGCAGCATTATGTATACAATAGATACGGTTATATGTTAATGAACATAATGACTCCAGGTTATAGATAATGAAGCTATCCACTGTTTTCTTATTTCTTTTCCATGTCAAATGTTTATGAATATAGCAAAACAGAACACTCAATAACAAAGAATATTTAACAAGTATCAAAAGAAAATCCTTTTAATCCACATAGAGTTTAGAGTTGAACAGACGGACATACTGATGCCTCAATGAGGGGGAAATGAACATAGACTAACATTGTATACAAGGAATGTAAGAACAAAGAAAATGATGGTGAAGATTTAAAAGAAAATAAAACATAACAAAAGAAACTATAAAGAATGAAGTGGAGTCAAACTTCTATGAAATATCAAATCAAAATAAAGAAAAAATAGTTCAGACACAGGCTGACTGGTAGGTTGTTAACCATTCCAGAAAACAAAAATTAAAACAAAGAAAAAAGATGAAAAGAAAAGAAAAGACATTTAGATCAAACTTATTTTTTATATATTGTTGAAGAAAAGGGTGATAATGAGAAAAGAAAAGAAAATGTCAGTAAAATTATCAAATATTTAAGTAGTTTACAACTAGATGAAACCATTTTAGTAGAAAGTGCCTTTAAAGGCAAGTATCCACAGGAGATTTTGAGACGAATACTGATTAGGGTTAAAATGGAAAAAAAGGAACTGAAAGGGAAAACCATGATATTCAAAAAAAATAAGAAAATAGAAGGCGTATGGATAGCACCATTATCTTAAGCTTCAAAGAAGGACAATGCAGAAGAGTTTGGTAAATCAACTAAAAGATAACAAGAAAAATTATGTGGAAAGACAAGGACACTCAGTCCTATGTAGTGTCCTTGTTCACACAAAAGCAGGTTAGGAAGCTCTTCCCACCACAAGGGAAGGAAAGGTCCAGCCTCCAGAAATGGGGAGAGTAACATTGTGATAAGCAAAGATATAAGTTTAACAACACACAATAATTTTAGCACCAAAGAAATGAAATGTTATAAACTTACTATTTAACATCTATGGTTTATATTCCAAAACAAATCAAATGAAAAGTAACTTAGCTAGAGGACATAACAAACATCAGCATTTATTCAAGTATTACTCTCATAGAAATGCATCTAAATGAATACATAAAAGATAAAGAAATTAAAATGCAAGATTTGGATATACACAGAAACATTAGATCAAGAGGTGTAGTATCTCTGAACCTTTCAGAGCTGATAATAAGGAAACACATGACATAACTGAAGCAATAAAAGACATTACAACAGTCCGATCTAACAGATCTGTTGAATTCCAGCAATCTTTTTGAAAAATTGTTGAGACTGAAAACCAGTAGTAAATCTATGAAGGAATATGGGAATTATCTCGCAAAGCAAAGCAAATCTTGGACAGCATGGTCTTAGAAATTGCAGATTTTGTCTATCCCATATCCTGAACCACTACAAATACATACTAAGAGATTTAATAAGAATACAGTAGTTGATGTAATATACTTAGACTTAAGAAAAGCTTTTGTTGATTTACAAAAATATTTTGCATTATCTTATTTTGCTGTTGCTAATGTTTATAACATTATAATAATTATAATGTCTATAATGGAAATAGCAAAATCAATATTCATAGCATTAGAAAAAAAAATAC